GACTTGGTATGGTTTTTTCCCTTCTCTATTCCAACAACTCTAACATGAATACTAATGGGTTTTTAATATATATCTATGTATTATATATAAAGTTACATACACATACACACATTTACTACACACACAAACACACACACACACATACACACACACTTTATTTCTCAGTCTACTTTACTAGTTAGGGCAGTTTTAAAAAGCAATTTTAACGCATTGGAGTTGATATCAGAAAGAAGAAAACAAAGATGTAGTTAACTCAACACGTTGTTGAAACTAAGAATCCAAAGAGCCAGAGTGAATGAGAGGATGAATCTGAAACTTCAAATTACACCTTTGGGGACAATTCTCAAAGTTGTTAGATTGTCTGACAGCAATTAAACATTAGATTTTCCTTTCTACACTCTCCCCTGTAGCTCAAGGGCTGGAAACCTAATTACTACATTTCCCCTAAATCCCTGACAGCAAATGTGGGTTATAATCCACAAATGAGACAATTACATAAATTTTGGATAGCAGAAGAGAAGCAAAATATATCAGTGTGTGTCTGGGAAGCATGTTCTAGACTCTGGGCTAAATAACATAGTAATAGGGTTCTAGCAGATAACCCATGCACCTTTCATTCTGGCACGGCAGGCATTAGTCATAGTTTCCTGCCATTTTGTATTTCTTAGTTTCATTGGTACTAATGGAAGCTTTTCCTGATCATCACTTCTTCACTTCCTGCAGCAGTTTCATAAGATTTTAGTTTCTTGCACTAAATTGCTTTTAGAAACACTTAGACTGGATTCTCATTAGTTATCTGAATCATAACTAATGCACTACTTTACCCCCACCCATGCGCCTTCCTAGTATAAGGTTTTAGATGATTTTGAATGAACAATAAATGGAAACCCTTTATAAAGTTCTTTCCAATTATGCAAATGTATATTCTCTATAGCATTTGCAATATTCAAATATTTCAACCATAAACAAACAGCCCTCTTTCCTGGAGACCTGTCGAGGTGAAACTTCCCATATGTTTCATAATAAATGGGAAAGTGAATGGTGTTCGGCCTTCAAGTTGCATAACAAAAAAAATTTTATGCTTTGGGATCTTATAAGTCTATCATCAAACCTTGAGCTTTAATATTTGACTCTACAAATCAGGTTCTTTGATGAGCATTTGTTGAGAACTAATAGTGTGAGGAATTACAAATTCCTGATTAAAATATACCATGCCCCTATGCCCCATAAGCTTAAATTTCCATTTAGTGACAAAGATTGGAGGACTAGATAATTTTCAGCAGTAATTCTACATTGTGCTGGAGCGACAGCACAGCGGGTAGGGCGTTCGCCTTACAAGCGGCCAACATGGCCGACCCGAGTTCGATTCCTCTGCCCCTGTCGGAGAGCCCGGCAAGCTACCGAGAGTATTTGATATGCCAGACACAGTAACAACAAAGTCTGCAATGGAGACGTTACTGGGCCCGCTCGAGCAAATCAACGATCAACGGGAGGGCCTTTACCTTTACCTTTACCAATTCTACATATAACCAACTACAGGACATCCTTTCAAACTGTGTATTTATTAACTCATCATAACAATGGTGAGGAATTGTTGAAAAGTCTTTATGACTGATGACTTATCTGATGACGGTTCTGTTTAAATGTCTTCATCACAACAGTCATCAGATAAGCACTGTAGCACTGTAGCACTGTCCTCCGGGTTTCATTGATTTGCTCGAGCGGGCACCAGTAACGTCTCCATTGTGAGACTTGTTGTTACTGTTTTTGGCGTATGAATATGCCACGGGGAGCTTGCCAGGCTCTGTCAGGTAGGCAAGATACTCTTGATAGCTTGCCAGGCACTCCGAAAGGGGTGGAGGAATCGAACCCGGGTTGGCCACGTGCAAGGCAAACGCCTTACCCACTGTGCTGTTTTGAAAAATTACTTTTACTAGTAGATAAAAGTTGGATTGGATGAGAAGACTGTGAGAGATCAAGAAATAAATTGGGAAGCTCTCATGTTGAAGAAGACAGAAAATAGAAGCGTGGAGAGATCATTTCAGCCTGAATTATGGTAGGGATCATATGGATGAAGAAAACTCGATTCATTCAAGGTACCCCTAGGAATTAAAACAAAGTGATTGAACTATAATAAAAATCCAAGAGTACAAAGAGTACATATATGAGACCAAGGACCTGTGGACCTCCAACTTCTCTGCCTGCCCACCCTTTGCTGTCCCAACCCATCAACCATTCTGTCCTCAAATGCCAAGCAAACCCCAATTTAGTTTGTCTAATTGCAATTTCCCTTGCTGGCAGCCCACTCCCCTACCTTCTGGTACTCCTGGCTTCTTAATAATATGTATTTGCACAAACCTCAAAAAGGCCTTTTCTGACCCTACACACTCAGAAACATCCTTCATACTCTCACCTCTGCTTTCTTCTCACATTATTCTGATTTTCCCTTCAGATTACATATTACTAATTAGCTTATACTCTCTCCCATCAAGCTAAAGATCTCACATCTTCATTACTATATCCCTCAAAGCAAATGCATATTTTAGTTAAAAAAGAAGATACACACAGAGGAAGAGAGAGGAGTAAAAGGTTACTCCAAAGTGTAATATTTTGCAGAATTGAGTAAACAGTAGTATCATGAGTAAAACAAAGAATGTAAGGAAACAATGTGTGTGTTATAGCTGAGGAGATGGAGTTTGGGATCAAAATGTCAGAGTCTGTTGTTGACAAACTTGGTTTGATGTATCCTTTAAACAGTCTTATGGACATGCTATGTCGGGTGATAAAGACAGAGGTTTGAAGTTCAGCAGAAAGTGTTGGTCTACAAAAGTCAGGTATTGTCACAATATTATAACAGCTAATGAAAAGTGCAGAATGAAAAAAGTTGAACCTTAAGGAACCATTATTAGATTCCTAATTCAAATTGTATTGAAAGCTTATTGTCTTAGAATGAAGAGCAATGTTGATATAAAATCACACAGTTTCTCTAATGTCCCAAATTATTTTTATTCCAACAGATAAAATGACAACATAAGTTGTATTATTAAATTAGCAATTAATTGGATCCCTTGCTTAAACTGGAATCTGATCAATTACCAATATAACAAGTGATACAATAGCATGCACATTTCCTACAATGTAAGAATTTTCCAAAGAGGAGGAAAAGCATTTTAAAACCACAATTACCAATTAACACTTTGAACAAAGTAATCACTATTTAAAAGACAAAAAGGCTGCTTCTTGCACATTTACTTCAAATCCATCAGAAAATGTAATTATCCAATTGAATGATATATCATACTAATATATATTGTTATCTGTTTAATTACGTTCTCCACCTCATTTCTATTATTTTCATTCATTTTTAATATCCCCCAAAATTAATCAACTTTTAGACAAGTCCTTTTCTTTCAAGCATGAAAGTAATTAAATAAGTCATAGTATGAATTTTAAATACAGCCATAGAATTAATGTCTCTAGTTGAAAGCTTGCGCAGGAACCATGCTAATCGTCTCCGTATTATTCCAATTTTAGTATATGTGCTGCTGAAGCAAGCAATACCACAGCGGATAGGGCGTTTGCCTTGTATGCGGCTGACACAGGTTCGATTCCTCCATCCCTCTCAGAGAGCCTGGCAAGCTACCGAGAGTATCCCGCCCGCATGGCATAGCCTAGCAAGCTCCCATGGCGTATTCGATATGCCAAAAACAGTAACAACAAGTCTCACAATGGAGACATTACTGGTGCCACTTGAGCAAATCGATGAACAACGGGATGACAGTGCTACAGTGCTACAGTTTGAAAACTAATGTTTATATCTAAACACAATACTTATCTTATTTTTTAAATTTAAGGGATGTATTCAAAAATTTAGTTACACCTATAAAAATATGTTGCAATGAAATCTTTTAACAACATCCAAACAAACATAACTATTATCTCAATTTTTATAAGCATAAGAGTTTTCAGCATCTTTGGTTGGGTACTATTGAAACAAAAATCATATTCAAAAGGTCAGTGAAAAATATTATAGTATTTATGCTCCAATATTTATAGATGAAATTTTATTATGTATTTATTCATAAGTTATCAAAAATATAGCCAATTATTTTGAAAGAAGGATAATTTATTCTGAAACTGTTCCAAAGAGAACAGTTGCAAAGTGGAACAAATCCAATGTGTTTAATATTTCTTACCAGATGGGTTCCATTTTGGTGAAATTATAGTTTATTAATTAAATAAATTATAAATGAGTCCACAGAAGATGAATTTAAAAAATAATATTATTGTTCTATGAACACATTAAAGCTTCATATTTTTTCAAAATTACTTATAGTCATAAAATATTACAAAATACAATAAAATTTCTATCTAATATAATTTAATTTTTACTGCAGATAAACTCAAGTTTAACACAGGAATAATTCATGTTCCAAATGTTGTTACAATAAGCAACGGTTATGGTGCATGCGTGTTACTAAAATCACATCTACAGAAAGAAGGAACAACTTGAAATGAGAAGTTAAAATGATGGTTTGCATTTCTATAATACAAACTTTCAGCCTTCAATTCTGAGTTGAAGAAACTTTTGCCAAACCATAAGAACAACTGATTGTGCATTACATTCTTCCTCCATCATTTGCTGAAATACTAATCACATAGAAAACATCAGTTTATATCCTGGAAGTCATTCAAGTAGTTAATAATATTTAACTCATGCTTTTCCTGATGGGTTTGGTCTATTAGAAGGGCAGTAAATAACCCACACACAATGAACTAGGAAAGTCTGAGGCTCCAGAGGAAACAGGCATTTGGTGGAGAAGGGAATGGAGTATCCCTAATTAACACCCTTTTTGTGATGTGAAAGTCAACTCATTCATCCACCCACTTTAACAATGCCAATAATTCCAACTCCTTGTTCACGGTCTTTTCACTCTGGAAAATGGTCAAAAACATTTGTCTCTCCTTTTATTATAACACAACCAACCATCCCACAAACTTTCTTAGTACTCTGTCTTTGAACATGAGTGCATTTATCAAAGCTCTGTCACCCCGTAGTTCTCTGTGACCTACAGCACAGATGCTTCCACTCAGATCTTCCTGGACTGGGCAATCGGGATGCTCCTGCATGCTTCTCATCCAGAGATATTGCTCTGCTCAAAAATCTTCCACATACATGCGCACAGCCGCTTCCTTAGACATTTGTGGCCCCTGCAAAAGAATCTGTGGGGCCACTGTTCTTCTTGACTTCCAGGTTCTTTTTGGTCTTGAATGTCACTGACACCTCAGAGTGGATGGCGTCCAACCTCTGCTCACAGCGGAAGGCTGACAGGAAAGCCTTCCTGTAGTTGCTGTTCATCCAGCCATAGAGGAGGGGGTTGACAAAGGTGGAGCACATCGCGATGATGTGGAACACGGTGAAGATGAGTTTGTACTCCTTCAGGTCCAGGACTTGGCTGTCAATGTCAACAGCAAGTTGGAAGGCATGAAGGGGCAGCCAGCTGACCGCAAATACCACCACGACACACACCAGCATTTTGGTGGTTTTCTGCCTGCGCTGATGGTAGTGGTCACCAGCTCCTCCAGGACTGATGTGGTTCTTAAGCTTACTCCAGATTCGAGTGTAGGAAAACGAGATGATGACCAGTGGTAAAACGTAGAGGAGTAGCAAGGAGGAAAGGCTGTAGATGGTGCCATAGATACCCTTCTCTTCCCCAGGCCACTTCTCAGTACAGGCCATGATCTTAAAGTCAGTGACAATCTCAATCAGTGAATACTCTCGGAAGATGGCCAGGGGACTTGCTAGCAGTGCACTGATGGCCCATGCCAGGCCAATAATCAAAAAGCTGATTCGTTTGGAGATCCTGCTCTCCAGGTGGTAGACAATGCAACGATGCCGGTCCAAGGCAATGACCGTCAAGGTGATTGTGGACACTTGGACTGCTAGGGCTTGGGCATAGGGAACCAGGTGGCATAGGACAAGACCCATTGTCCACTGACCCATTAAGGTGTAGGTAAGAGTGAATGGCAAGCAGAGAGTATTCACTAGGAGATCAGCCACAGCCAGATTGGCAATGAAAAAGTTGGTTACTGTGCGCATGCTCTTGAACTTGATCACCACGTGGATCACCAGTGAGTTGCCAATGACACCGAGCAAGATGATGGTGCAATAAGCCAATATGAGAATAACCCGGACCTCAGTCAGCTTGGTGCTGTCTATAAGCTGTGGCTCAGGGACAGCGGGCAGCTCACCTCTAGGAGTACTTTGCTCGGACCCATAGGGCTCTGCCTTCACTTCTTCCACTGTCTGGTTCTCATCAGCCTCAGCACCGATAGGGCCCATTTTCAGCAGCTATTGTCGGAATCTACAATAAATCAACAAAAATGGATCAAGAGTGAAGCAAAAAAATATCACGCATGGATCAACTTTGGGTTGGAGATTAAAATATCGAGCCCCAAAACTGCATTTGGTATGAGATTCTAATAAAGCAGACCTGTGAATAAGTCTGGTCACAGATAATAAATATGAATGGTTAGAGAAAGAGATACCCTTGAAAAATATATATTTCAATCTGGACAAACTGGCAGGCTACCGAATGTAACCTGCCCACACGGCAGAGTCTGGCAAACTTCCTGTGGCGTACCCAATATGCCAAATACCAGTCACAATGAAGGGTCTCATTCTGCTAACTCTGAAAAAGCCTTGAATATGGCACTTTTTAAAAAAATCTCAGGGCTAGGACGAAGGAGACGTTACTGGGGCCTGCTCGAGGCAATCGATGAATAACAGGATGGTTGTGATTTGCTGTGATTCAATGGTAAAATATAATCCCCGGAGAATAGGTATAATTCCATTCTAAGTGCTACCAAATTGATCCAACATGTTTTGAATGGAGTATTAGAAACTGTATGATTTCTTTTATAACTGCTCTACCTTCATGAAATTTATTTTAAGAATCATAAAGTGTTCTTCAGTATCTTGACTGCTTTCAGTTTACAAATGCGGCAATAAATTTCACAGAAAAGAAAATGTTTATGGACACTTAGGGATTTAGCATACTTAAAGGAAACAAAAGATCTTTATATTATTTTTCTAGTGTACTGGTTGATATTTTTTAAAAAAGGCAACCAGCTTTAAACAGCCACTTTTCTATGATCTAAAATAAATTTTCTAATTATAGCAGAATTCCACATTATATGAAAAATATACCCACATCTGAACTACATCTCTTTCTAACATATCAAAATGAAAGTTTTAAAACTTTGTTTTCCTAATTTGCCTCCCAAACCAAACATTTTCTTCACATGCCTTTCTTCAATTAATGCCTTGCCACTTTTAAAATAAGAAAAAAAAATGGGGGGAAAATAGGGGAAAAAATCAACAAAACACAAAATCAGATATCTTTCCTAGATTTTTCCTACCCTATTAATCTATTTATTTTATTTTGGGAGCCACACCAGGCAGTGCTTGGGGCTGATTCCTAGATCTATGCTCAGGGATCACTCCTGGCAAGCTTGATATGGGCCTATGTCATGCCACTCTGTTCTCTGATCCCAGGTCTTAGGGATCCTGGTTGGGTTCAGCCAGCAGTACACAAGGTAGGCCATTGGAGGGCATGAGAACAGGAGAAGCCAAATACTCTTCCTGCCTCTCTTCTCTGGACAGAGCTCAGCCTGATGGCTCCACATTCTCCCAGGACTGGGCCCAGGGTGACTATTTCCATTGTAGGGCTCCAGTGCCTAGGCTTCTGCTTCAATCCTGCTCCCTAGGTCCCTCCAGTTTAGTGACTAAAACCCTTAGTTTATGCTAAAACCCCTTGTTCATGCTAGCCTGCATAGCCTCAGTGTCTTCTACTGCTTTTTTGTCTTTTGGTGGACCACACCAAGATGTGCTCAGGTACTATTCCTGGCTCAGGGCTCAGAATCACTCCAGACAGTGCTCTGAGGACCATATGCAGTGCCAGGGATCAAACCAGGTAGGCTGTGTGCAAGGAAAGCACCTTACCTGCCAGTGTCTCTCCAGACCCCATATCCTTCTCTTTTTTCATGTTTGAGTAGCATCTGCTTTACAACGTCTGGTAATGCCATCAGACATTAGAGCTTTGTTTTGTGTTCTCCCTCTACAGGTGACGCACACCAGGTGAGAATGTGAATGTAAGAAGAAATTCTCAATTCCACAGCAAAACGTTCACAGCTCTCCTGGAACCCATCCCATTCCTGGAACCCATCCCATTCCTGGCTTCGTGACTCCTGGCATGCCAACAAATACCTTGTGCTTCAATCAGAATGAGTTACTGCTAGAACCAGCAATGCACAGACTTTGTTTGGGCTCCTGCCCTCCCTGTTCTGAACCAGGAAGTCTCTGACTTCCCCACAACCAGGACTCACTTTCCAGCTGCAGAAACTCAGGAACCTTACCTTGCAGCTGCATTCCCCCTTCCACTCCACCCCAGAAAGCTCCCTGAGAACAGAGCACTGGACCTTTTCCAAGCCTTGCCTTATCCTTAACACACTATCCACACCTTCAAGGTACTCAACACTTTGGCGAAACAAATATAAAGCTGAAGGAAAACACAATTTTACTGAATGATTAAGGTTCAGCAAAAGACAATGTAACAACTATAATCTTTCCTTTACTTAAGATAAGATGGGCTGGAGCGATAGCACAGCGGGTAGGGCGTTTGCCTTGCACGCAGCCAACATGGCCATCGCGAGTTCGATTCCTCCGCCCCTTGCTTGCATGGATTCCTTGCTCTAATATGATACTCTGGAACTGGTTTTCTTCTTAGTGATGCAAACAGTTCCACAAGAAAGTTTTCCCAAGATGCCTTTCAAATCAGCCCCTGATTGGTGGGACATAAATTCTTAGTAAATACTAGAAGGAAAGTTTTCTATCTCAAGGATAGAAAACACATGCATACCCAGTAACACAATCATACCTATACACACATGTTCAGAGAAGATTTCTTCTAAAAAAATTTTCCATGTGCGAATGCACTAGCTTGACTGATAAGTAATCCTTCCCTTTGCATAAATTTCAAATAGACTCTTTCAATGATCCCAGGCTCTTGTTAGCATTTGCTTCTATTCCTTCGTCATCAGTGAAAAGAGTTGACCATTTAAATCTTGCAGTGTATATTGGATTGGTCATACCGTTTCCCTTAGATTAAGAGAGACTGACTTTGCAGAGAGCAATTAGTCCATCCTGACAAGTCATTAACAGAATTAACAAGACTCCAAGAGGTCTGCCTTGGAGCACTGCCTCGAACTAAATTGAGAGCAAGTCTGAGCTACAGTGTATTCAAGAGTAGATTTGATGTTTCAACTGTTTTCCCCCCTCCCACACTTAGTTTTGTGGGGTTGTTGTTGTTTTTAATTTTGAGATCAACTTATTTGAAATTTCTCTACAGGAACAGCTACTGATCTACAGTCTAGCAGTGTAAGCTCTAGACTAACAACCTGTTCTCATAACATCACCCAAGGAAGCACTCTTTCATAAGGCCCCTCTGGAAAGGTGGGAGAGGAAGAGGGAGATGCAGAGGGAGCTGCACAGTCAAAATCAAAGCACAAGAATTAAAATCCGAGTTGATAAGAGGAAAACATCTCTTTCCTTGAAATAAGGCAAAAGGAAACATTCAAATTTTCAATACCTTTAAGACAAACTGAACTGTATGGTGTTCTCGAACAAGTTATTCCTGAAAGAAAATATTTCTTTTTTTTATATGGGAAAATGGCTCTTTGGTTTTGTTTTATGAGGTTTGTTTTGTTTTGTTTTGTATTTTGGTAGCAATTCAAAGACCAGCTCACACCATGACTATATATTTAAATCGGTGTAACTTGTTGCAACAGTATTGTGCTATACAGGTCTGCCTTAGTAAAACTTCTTAACAATCACAAAACCTTCCGGGAAGTTTTCTTGGGGGGGGGGGCGTGGAGGGGGAATAAAAATCCCAGAAAATCATGCCACATGCTCTATTACTTGCTTGTTAGTCTCAGAGAAGGAGGAGAGATGTTCAAGAAAGCCACACACAAGACTTAATGGCTGACCTGCCTAGCAAAAAGTGTTGAAAGAAAACACCCACCAAAGATTAGGGACTGTCTCTCCCAGGCACGCTGGAGCTCTGGTCTTTCTGGAAAACATTATTTGACTATTTCACGCCATTGGGTTCAAGGATGCATTCCCATAAAAAGAAAGTCCTGCCCTAAAGGCTACTCCCAAGGGTGAAAAAGAGCTGTTGGAAAACCAGTGATTGCCTCCACGATTCTGTCTTTTCTTGAACAGCTGCTAAGGATTCAGCATAAATTGTGCTTTGGGCAGATGTGTGATCTTTAAAGCAAGTGGCAGGAACGGTAACACCTTGTTGTTCTGGAAAGCTCATGCCCTCTCTCTAGAAGAGGTCAGGGAAATAGGCAAGAATTTTCAGGAAAAATAGAAAATTGCCTATGAGGACCCCCACCCTCATCCATATCTTGGGGTCTAAAGGTGGGGGAAAAGGGGAGCCCAGACCGGAGCGCGGGGTTCCCCCGCTCCCTAGCCCCGGGACCCGCGCACTTGCTAGAGGAATTCCCCGCAGAGGAGGGATCGAGTTGGAACTTAACACTTACCCACCCGGAGCCGGCGCTCCTGCAGCCTGCAGTCCGAGGTTCTTTTGGGTCTGACTCCGAGAAGACGCGGCTCGCTCCTGGACCTCAGGTCCCCAACGACCAGCTGGGCTGGGTTTGCGCGCAGAGCGGCGCGCGCCGCGTGCACCCCGAGTCCGGGCTCCACCTCGCCGGTCGAGCGCGCTCGGGCTCCGCACTGCACCGCCCAGAAGGGGGGGCCGGGGAAGGGGGCGGACCCCTCCCTCCAAGTAAGAGAAGTAGGTGCAGAAGCTGGGGGGCGGGGGCGACGGTCCCTCAGCCGAGAGATCAGGTCGAGAAGTTCCCGTGGGAGGCTGGAGCAGGGGACAGCGACCGCTGTCTCTAGTCCAGGAGCATCTGGAAGACCCCAGCGGTGGGACCCTAGCCAGCGCGGCGCCCCCTCGCGGGTCCCCACCACCTGCGATAACTGCCACTCGCCCCCCGCTCCTTCGGGAGACCCTCTAAGTTGAAGACTGAGCGTGTGCTCGACCCCTTTCCCTCCACTACCCCCCTCCTGTCCTTTGCTCCAGGCTCCTGCAGAGGTGAGCGCGGGACCGCAAAGCCCCCGGATTCTGCACCGGGCTCAACAATGTCCCTCCAGGAACGGACCCAGGCACAAACGCAGGCGACGGAGCTTTGAACCCGGAGCCTCGGGAAAGGAGAGCGGAGATTTGGAGCAAGAAGGGGCCCGATCTTGGGAGTGGGGGGCAAATGGGGCCACAATCTTGGAGGGACTGGGG